TCTTCATCCTTCCCTTTTTCTTTTGCTTGGCTTTCTTCTCCTCTACTTCCCATGTCAGCTCAGAAGCCTCTTCCTCGCACAGGTCTTCCCTTTTTTTCTCTGGGCTGGCTAAGGCACCCCTCCTGGGCTCTTCATGACCCCTCTGCTTTCTCTATCATGTAACTTACCACACTGCATTATAATCACCATGATTACATTTTCTTGGCTCAAACGTCCCCTTGATGGCAAGTTCTGTTTTGTATCTGCCTTTAGCACATAGCAGAGCTGAGTCACATAACAAGTGAATGAATGAATGAAGATGACATTATTGCGATGTTGGATTTAAAGTTAGTGTACCTTATAGGAAGTTTTTGATGCTACATATTGTTAGCTGTGTGAGATCGGGCACGTCACTTTTCTCAGCCTCGGTTTCCTCAACTGTAAGATGAGAAGTAAAGCAAGGCTCCTGAGAGCACTTCGCAGACGTTATCTCTATGCATCTACACAAAGCCCCAACAAAGCTGAAACCTGGATTAAAGGAGGTGATGTCTATACCTCATCTAGGCCCAGACAGTTCCCTTAGCAAAGCTATCTTTACCAGTACCATGAAGGAAGGCAGAAAGGTGATTTTCTTTCCTTGTCTATAACCGTGTTCACCTTGTTCATAATAAGCACCTGTTTCTGTTTGGTTAAAAATTAAAATCTGACACAAGCAACCTTAAACTCTCCCATTCAAAGAGTGTAGTCTCTTCTGGTTTAAACCAACAACAGGCTCTTCTGAGTTGCTTTTCCAAGTCACCTTCCAGTCATTCTTTTAGATAGATGCACAGTCTTTTAGGGCCCCCTCATTCCCCTCCTCAGTCCCTGAATACAGTGAAAGTATGTTAAGATGGAGGCAGCAGAGGGAACCTCTGGCCTATGGTCCCTTCGTCCCCCCTTGTCCATTGATAGTGAAACCATGGACTGGTCACTGCTCAGAGTCCCCTCCTTGCTAAATCAGCCCTTCACTGAGTTCTCAAGGGCACTGGGTCTCTGTCAAGGAGCAAATCTCCTCAAGAGCACTGAGGCTTCCACAGCTCCAGCTGTTTTTCCCTCGAACCTCTGCCTGCAGCCTCTGCCGCAGGGTCCTCTCCTGCAAGCAGTGGGGATCTCCTGGCAGGCAGCCTGGCTCTCTAATTCAAGTTCCCTCTGGAGCCTGTGGAGACTTCTGGATCTTCTCCATGGAGGAGACAGAGTGAGGGAGGAGTGACAAAGAAAGTTTCCATGAGAGATTTCATGGGCAAGGATTTTACGATTTTAGTCTCTTATATATCCCAAGACCTTGAATGGTACCAATGATCCCCGACTTACTATGGTTCGACTTACGATTTTTCGACTTTATGATGGTGCGAAAGTGATATATATTCAGTGCAAACCATACTTCAAATTTTGCATTTGGATCTTTTCCCAGGCTAGCCATATGTGATGTGATACTCTCTTGCAATGCTGGGCCAAATAATCTAACACGATGTCTGTTTTATAATCATGTGCTGAATAGCTCATGTAATTTACTAAATACTGCACCGAAAATGTTCTGAGCACATTTAGGGTAGGCTCAGCTGAGCTGTGATGTTCAGTAGTTAGGTGTATTAAGTGCATTTTCGACTCTTGGGACTTTCAACTTACGATGGGTTTTTCACCGTCTATACTTTTTTACATTAGTAGTTGTTTTAAAAGATATTGCTAGGCCGGGCGCGGTGGCTCAAGCCTGTAATCCCAGCACTTTGGGAGGCCGAGGCGGGTGGATCACGAGGTCGAAAGATCGAGACCATCCTGGTCAACATGGTGAAACCCCGTCTCTAGTAAAAATACAAAAAAACTAGCTGGGCATGGTGGCGCATGCCTGTAATCCCAGCTACTTAGGAGGCTGAGGCAGGAGAATTGCCTGAGCCCAGGAGGCGGAGGTTGTGGTGAGCCGAGATCGCGCCATTGCACTCCAGCCTGGGTAACAAAAGCGAAACTCCGTCTCAAAAAAAAAAAAAAAAAAAAAAAAAAAAAAAATTGCTGAATTGAATGAATGATCCTCAGTCCATCTCTGCCTAAACATTGCTGCGTCATTGTTTCATTTTGATTTTCAAGTTTATCTCGGGTTTCTATTTCCTTCTTCCAGAGTTTTGAATCCAGTGTAGGAATGGGAGCAGGAGGTGCCCTGAGTAGACCTCTCATTTGATTCTAAACTATGCTACTCTCATCTTCTTTTTCGGTACAGAAGCATTTTTATTTTCCTCCTGTCTGATGGGAAGTAACCTTACATTATATTTCACTTTCTCTATACTCCATGGTTCAGAGTTAAGGTGATCATGTGTCCTGGGTTTTGCCTGTGGTGGTCACGGTTCCTAACTATTGTCTGCATGTAATTAACAGTGATGCACGCTTCACTCTCAAAATGACCTGGCTTGGATGGTAAATTACATGGCTATCTTACTTTTTTTTTTTTTTAAGACAGGGCATCACTCTGTCACCCGGGGTAGAATGCAGCGGTGTGATCACAGCTCAATGAAGTCTCAACCTCTAGGGTTGAAGTGATCTTCCCACCTCAACTTCCTGAGTAGCTGGGCACATGCCACCACACCTGGCTAAGGTTTTCATATTTTTTTTGTAGAGATAGGGTTTTGCTATGTTATCCGGGCTGATCTCGAAATCCTGGGCTCAAGCAATCTGTTTACCTCAGGCTCCCATATTTTTTTTTTTTTTTTTTTTTTTGAGACGGAGTTTCGCTCTTGTTACCCAGGCTGGAGTGCAATGGCGCGATCTCGGCTCACTGCAACCTCTGCCTCCTGGGTTCAGGCAATTCTCCTGCCTCAGCCTCCTGAGTAGCTGGGATTACAGGCACACACCACCACGCCCAGCTAATTTTTTGTATTTTTAGTAGAGACGGGGTTTCACCATGTTGACCAGGATGGTCTCGATCTCTTGACCTCATGATCCACCCGCCTCGGCCTCCCAAAGTGCTGGGATTACAGGCTTGAGCCACTGCGCCCGGCCAGGCTCCCATATTTTAAGACTACAGCTGTGAGCCACTGCACCGGGCCATTCCTTTTTGTTTGTTTGTTTGAGATGGAGTCTAGCTCTGTCACCCAGGCTGGAGTACAGTGGCATGATCTCTGTTCACTGCAACCTCTGCCTCCCGGGTTCAAGCAATTCTCCTGCCTCAGCCTCCAGAGTAGCTGGGACTATAGGTGCCCACCATCATGCCCGGCTAATTTTTGTATTTTTAGTAGAGACAGAATTTCACCATGTTGGCCAGGCTAGTCTCGAACTCCTGACCTTGTGATCCTCCCATCTCAGCCTCCCAAAGTGCTGGGATTACAGGCGTGAGCCACTGCGCCCGGCTAGCATTCCTAGTCTTTAAAACAACTTTGAGCTCAGGCTTCCAAACTGAAATCTCCTTGTGACTTAAATCTTAGTGTTGGGAGTCACACAAAAACCTTTCTCTCTCTTATGTTCCTGGGTCTTGCAAATAAAGGTCTTGGCTTTTATGATATTGTTCTAATACAGACATTTAAAAATATATTTTGAAAGACAAAGATATATAACTTTTAAATTCAGAGAAAAACATTTCAAGAAAGTAAAAGTAAGCATTTGAATATATCAACAACATGGTACCAGCAGTCTGTCAGATGACATGGCCAGTGCACGATCCTGGTGCATGGTGGTGGATGCCAGTTACCCAGGTCACCCTGTCACCCAGAATTATGAGTTGTTTACATTTGTTCTTCTGGGGAATTTTAAAAAAGAAATAAAAGATCATTGCCAGAGTTTTTTATAACCAGTAGAAGACTTCTTCATCCTAGGTTGTATGTGCCTTTCTCCTGAAGACGGTTTATAGAAAGCTATAGCTGTTACTTGATTAGAGGGGAGTGTGTTGAGGTTGAAATAACTTATAAAAATTTGTTTTAATAAAAACATTAACTGGATGCATAAACTATCAATAAATATGATTTCCCTTTCCAACTCAATGTGGTAACCCTGCTCATCTTGTGTTGGTTGGGAGCACTGCCTGGCAATATGTATGATATTGATTAATAAAAATGAAAAGGCATATTAATTTGTTAAATCACTTGGCAGAAAACTTATATTCAATCTTAATTAAAACATAATTGGATAGGCAATATCTTTTAAAATGAAGGATGCATGGAAGAAAACATCAAAATACAGCACCTCAAAGATTGTTTTTTAAAGGGGCTTGCACCCCTGTCCAGGTAACAGAATGCCACTGCTGACTGCGTTTTGTAGGTAGTTTACTTGCAGATTTGTTTGGTCGTAGCAAAGGGTGAGATCTTCACACTCTCCTCCAGTTCATCTTCTAACAGGTTGTGTGTTTCCTCCGGGTGGTTGACTTGGATTAGGGTAGAGAACAAATTATTTGACCTAATTATTAAATGGCAGCGTAGCTCACCAGTAAACCCAGGGGATAGACACCTGTGCTCCAAACATATTACTATGGCTTTCTAAATGCGACTTTGTAATATCACTATGACTATTGAATAAGAAGCATGCTTGTGTCTGAGGACACTTGTGTGTCTAATAGAATGGGGCCTTTTTTTTTTTTTTTTTTAACTGAGTCTCACTCAGTCACCCAGGCTGGAGTGCAATGGCATGATCTCGGCTCAGTGCAACCTCCGCCTTCCCTGTTCAAGCGATCCTCCTGCCTCCCTGCCAAGTAGCTGGGATGACAGGCATGTGCCACCACTCCTGCCTAATTTTTTGTGTGTTTTTAATAGAGACGGTATTTTACCATGTTGACCGGGCTGGTCTTGAATTCCTGACATCAGGTGATCCACCTGCCTTGGCCTCCTAAAGTGCTAGTATTGCTGATGTGAGCCACCACACCCAGCCAAGAATGGGGTTTTCAAGAAGATGTGGAGGAGCAGTGTGCTTGGATAATTAGGGGCACCCTCACACTATTACTACCTTCCTTTCTTCTACAGTTCTTAAACTGAAGCTGCTTCCTATCTCTCTTCTTCCTCTCACATCCACAGATGGGGTGGCTGCATTCCGTGCTTTCTTGAAGACGGAGTTCAGTGAGGAGAACCTGGAGTTCTGGTTGGCCTGTGAGGAGTTCAAGAAGACCAGGTCAACTGCAAAACTGGTCTCCAAGGCCCATAGGATCTTTGAGGAGTTTGTGGATGTGCAGGCTCCACGGGAGGTGTGTTGGTAGCAGTGACCGTCCTGTCTGTCCATGGCTCCTGGCTTGCGTTTCTCTCCTCAGAGAGGATCTGAGCCAGGCTTGATGAGGACTTTCTTATACTAAACTGAGACTCATCACTCTGGTGGCCCTCTACGAAAAAAAAAAATCTTTTCTAAGGAACAGAAACCCAGGGTTTCCATCAAAGGAGCTCCATTAGGAATGTTTTAGTTGTCCATCCATAAAACATGTGCTAGCAGGGATTTTGTAAGAATAGATGCTACTGAGTCTATGTTCATTTTCCTGGTGGAAGGCAGCATAGCTTAATGAAATGGGGATCTGTTTTAAAATCTTCCTTCAATTTTAGCTCTACCCCTTACTAGCTATGTGATCTTGGTCAAATTACTAAACTTCTCTGGGTCTCAGTTTCCCTTTCAGAGTATGAGGGGCAAAGCGCCTGTTCAGTATTTGCCACTGCTCATTAGTAATTACTGTATTTATAGTATTTAATTATAATTATTTATAATAATAGGATGAATTTCTATTATATTGCTGCTCTGAGTTATAATGCAGAATTTTACTTGGGAGGGGAGGGTTTAAATGAAGAAAAATGTTCGCTACTACAGGTTTAGATGCATTGCATTTTTAGATCCGTTCAATTGTGCTTTGACTTGGGGTGCACGACGTCTTCCAGTTGGCTAGGACGCCGTAGGCCCTTTATAATGCCGGCTGGGACAGAGAAACGCATTCCAACCACAGCCTCCCTCCACAGGGCATTTGTTTCCTTAGTAAACAAGAAAGGACAAGAGAGAAAGCTTACTTCAGGGGACCTGCACTTACAGCGGGCTTGGGTCTACCCCATTGCCTCCCGTTGTGAAGGTCCCTGGATTAGGGATTCAAGTACTCTGGGATTTTGCCTTGGCTCTGTTACTAACTTTCCATACTACTTTAAACAAGCTTTTTAGTCTCTCTCTTTTTTTCAGCGTTCTTACCTATAAATTGGGACTGAGAATATCTGGTCTTCCGATCCCACAGGATTCTTGCTGTGATCAAAAGGCATGATCTCCATGGAAGCAATTTGAAAAGCAGAAATCGCCTTAAGCATGTAGATGCTGCCGTTGATACTTACTGCAGAGTTAGGTTCAGCTGCCAGGCACCTTGGCCCTTGAGGGCCTGTGACCTTGCTCTCTGTTTGTATCTCCAGGTAAACATAGACTTCCAGACCCGAGAAGCCACGAGGAAGAACATGCAGGAGCCGTCCCTGACTTGCTTTGACCAAGCCCAGGGAAAAGTACACAGCCTCATGGAGAAAGACTCTTACCCCAGGTTCCTGAGGTCCAAAATGTACTTAGATCTGCTGTCCCAAAGCCAGAGGAGGCTCAGTTAGACCTCAGAAGGGGACTCCTGGAAATCACTGGCTTTCCCCTCCGCTTGCTGCCATGATCATACTCTAATGTGAAATGTCATAGGTGTTCAAAAGTGGTGGTGTTCGGAGTGGGAGGCTGAGGGTGAGGAGGGAATGAAGGGCCGTTCCAAAGTGTGACCCAGCTGCTAGAGCTTGGACTCTATTCCATTTACCCACATTTGTGTTTCGGTTAGTGGTAGCGCCTTGCCGCTGTCAGCCTTTTCTGAGTCAGCAACTTGCCCTTCATAATGCCTTGGGTCACCTCCGCTGAGGGGCAGATTCGCTGTGCTAGGCTAATCTGTAAATAACGCAAATGCGATTCCCACCACCTGTGCACCCTCCTCTGTTAGGATTCCTGACTCTCCACTTGTAAATACCCGGGAGGAACAGCTGAATGACTTGGTCTCACCTCTGATTTGCTGTCACGTTGTTGTGGCCAGCCCTGCTGACTAGGACCTCACAGCTTAGGAGAGAGGTTTCTGTGGGATCCCAGGTTTCTAGTGCTGTCGTTGACAGGCGACCTCTCGGAGAAGGAGTGAAACCCATGGAGTTGTTTGTTTCTTCCATTTCCATTGGACCGGTGTGAAAAATTGTGACCACTTCCCATCTTGGCCTAGGAAATTCACAAGACTACCGTACCCTTACATTGTCATAAAGAGCCTTAGGAGATGGTCTTCATGAGTTTTGAAGTGGAACTGCCATTAAGAAAGATAGAGCTTGCAAATCTTCCTCAATTCTACCAAGAACTTTTCCAGAAGTCGAGAGACCAGGGAACGTAGCCCCAGTAGACTTCTATTCGGAGGGGTACTGTGTAACCTGTCTGTTGCTCAGTGTCTTCTCTACCCTCACCTCTCTGCAGCATCGTACATCACTGATCTCTTAGGATGACAGCTTGGCAAAGGGAGGGGAATTTCTATAGCATGGAGTGCTCCCACGGTGCCTAATACTTTCCCTGTATCTCCACCTCTCCACTCCCATGCCAGTCATGTAATTATGATGGGGGAGAACGGGAATTTAGGCTGAAACTCTTTCCAGCATGCTTCCTGGGAACATGCTTTCTTAGAAAGGCCTCTCTCTCTCTCTCTCTCTCGGCTACCATGAAGCAGCTTCTTTCTTGATCTTTTACCTTTTGGAATTAAGCATGAAATAGGAGGTGTGGCTAAGAAGATCACTGAACATCTGGACGTGAAGAACCTTCCTGAGATGCTTTCATGGTACCCTGCAGCTCCTCTTGGAAATGCGTCAGGCAACTCTTCCTTGGAGGATGAGTGTGCAGCCTGGAACCTACTCTGGCTGCCAGGAAGAAGCAGACTTTGGCACAAGAGTAGTGCCAAGGAGATGAACCTTTAGCAGAGAGATCAGAAAATGAAAGGGAGCATGGAAGAGGCTGGTTTCCGGGTGGAGAGGATACCAGAGCGGATTCCTGTTGGGATAATTCAAGATCAGTGAATGTCGATTCATTGCAGATCTACACAACTTTCAGCTTGGCTAAATGGAATAGCACATAATTAGCCGTAGCTCTGGAGTGCAGACGGTTGAGAACTGGGCTGATCCCATTCTCCTTTGAAGGGGTGAGGGGCCTTTTAAGATTATGCTGGTGGTGGTCTAGTGCTTGTGTCCCTCTCCAATAACTTTGAGAATCTCTTCCTTTTTAGCTATAGCTAGACCAGGCCAAGAAGGCCCTGGAGTCCCGCTAGCGTTAGGGCCCACTGCACTGCCACGACACACGGTTATCTGTGACTGAGGGTGGGCGTGACTGTGAACCTCAAGGGGACAGAAGAACATATGTGTCCCAGCCCTCACACTGAAGAGACCTGTGGAATTTCACGTTCGAGAACTCCAAAGCCTCAAATGGATGTTCCTAGTTAGATCAGGTAGTATCCTTCCAATCCTGGTTTAAAAAAAAAAAAAAAATCATTCTTTCTTAGATAAAGCTGCCAGAATTAATTTAATGATTAAATTCTCTAACAGGGTATTTTAAACATTGTTTACATATGAAATGTGCATCTGCTGCCAACTCTACTGTCGAATATGAGGTGCATATAAATTGGAACTGCACAGAGTTATAGAAATGTGAAGCAGTCTGAAAGGGGCCTTTTCACCACTTCCACTATCCCAAGGAGAAACGCCTGAACGAGCATGCCATGCAATGGCCTCATAGAGGGGCCTAGAGTTCTTGCCAACTCTTGGTGAAACAAAGGCTGCAGATGGTGGTGTCACAGTGCCCTGGTGACTTCCTCCCACAATGGGGAGGTACAAAAGACCCAGCTTGGGTATCCTGAATTTCGCAGCTAAGCAAGGGTATGTGGGTGTGTCTCCATGTGTAGAGGAATGTGATAGCTGAATTTATGGTTCTCCTGTGGAGCATCTCTGTGTGTTTGTGTGTGTGTGACAATTGTGAGCATTAGACTAGTACACGGCAGACATGATCTGTCCGTGAGGTGGAGCTTTCCTCTTAGCCTGTATGCCCTGCTTCCCACAAGAGGCGCAGAAATCTTCACTCTGACGCCTACTTTTAGGCACTCTGGTCATGCCAACCCAGATTTTGGTCTGTGATAAAAGAAAGAGAAATGTTTACAACATCTAGAGCAATATCCAAGCATACCTCATCCCTGAGCTTCCACGTTCTCAGTCCTGCCCTCTCTCCCGTTTCCTCTTCCACAGGCTCGTGTCCGTGGGTATCACTTCCATTTATTTCTTGTCTTCCTTTGTTCCTCAAGCTGGGCCTGTGCTGTGGACTTGCCTGCTGGACTTGAGCTTGCTCGGTCCTGGGCCCGTGCAAGTTCCAGGCAGGCCAGGGCAGGAGTCCAGGCAGAGCTCTGACTTCTAGAATTGCTCTCTATCCCCTTTGGTCCCACTGGGGGGCTAACTTGTTTGGGGGCTGCTGCGAGACTTGTCATTGCCCTTGGCAAACGAAATAGAATACTGTCAATATCTACCATTCACGGCCTTGGGCACCTTTGGGTGAGGAAGAACCCTCTGAGGCAATCTTTCTCATTAAACTTGAGCATGCACAGGAGTCACCTGGAAAGCCTGTAACACGTGCTAATTCCCAGGTGCACACCCAGAGAGGCTGATCTGATAGACCTGAGATGGGGCTCAGAAATCTCTATTTTTAATGAGTTTCTAGGTGGCTACTGGCTTGTGGACTTGGAAGAAAGGTGGTCTTAAACAGTGGCGCGCGACCTTGGCTGCTCCTTAGAATCATCTGGAGAGTTTTTAAAACCAAAATGTCTAGGTCCCACCGCAAAACAGCCAATTCAGAAGCTTTTGGTAGAGACCCAGGCATCAGTCTTTTTTAAAGCTCCACAGGTGATTCCAATGTGCAGCTGAACTTGGGAAGCATTGCTCTAACGAGTGAGGAGGAACACAGCCTGGGGGAAACGCAGCTGTGTGGGCCGAGGGGGCTGGCACATGTCCAGATGCAAGCAGCAGATACCGAGGAACCCGGCCAGCCCTGGATGGCTGCCTCAAGATGGCTGCCTCTATGCCCTCTGGGTCTGACTTGCTCCTTTGAGATAAAGGTGTTTTGGCCCACGGCCTGCATTGCTGGGCAGCTGCCATGCCGAAGGTGGCAGTCGAACGGGCCCTTGATTGAAGGATGCTCTGCCATGCTTTCTGAGCCTTGCCTGCTCCAAGCTCACCTCCTGGGCCGTTTCCCCTGTCCGTTTTCCTGTGCCCTTGTGTTTGGCCTTTTTGTGTTAGGCTGTGCCTCTGTACCCAAGGCCACGTGACAAGGTAGTTGGAACCCCCACTCAGGCGGTGAGTGAAGTGTGTCTTAGTAGTGACAATAGTAGTAACACAACTTCCAAATTTCTCAGTGGAAAATTTCACATCCTGGGGATATCAACATCTGTGAGGCCTCTCCAAGACCTCACCACTCCCTCTTTGGTATCGGGTTGGGTGGGCAGCTGGGAAGGTCCTCGTTGATTTTAATGTCCGGTGCTCTCCCCAGAACTGCTGCGTTGAATAAACCAAAGCTGTGAAAGAGCGTTCTGCACAGGCTGCGGGCCCGGCCTCTGGGTGCAGGTCCCAGGCGCTTGCCCTGCGCAGCTCAGCTGGCTCTGTTGTGAGGGAAAGCTGTGAACTTACTGTACTGAGAGCTGGGGGAGGGTGCAATGGGGAAGACTGAAGAGGAAGGAGCAGGTGGGAGAGACCAGCCTCTACCACGGTGTCTGCTTCTCCGTGCACCAGAGGAGAAGGCAGGAGTAGCAAATGCAGAGGCAAGATGGTCTCCCAGCAACAACAGCGTCCAGACCCTGCCTGTGCCACTTCCATGCAAGGCAGAGGCACTGCGGTCTTCCATCCCAGGCCGCCGTTCGCTCAAGTGTCAGGCCTCTTTAAATCTCATCCCTCTGGGTTAGAAGCCACTCGGCATGAGATGGTGGAGGAAGACGCCAAGAGCAGAGATGCCTTCCTGTCCCTGTGGCCTCTCAGGACTCCGAAAGATGCTGTGGACCTAGATGGGAGACTTCGGGATGGGGCCACTGGCCTTCCTAGGTTGGGCTCTGGGTCCTTTCAATAAACGGTTCCTTGATGTTTACTCCCTCTGGGTCCTTCCGCTCCCTACCCTCTGCCAGGTGTGGGAAAGGTGGCTGGGCTCGGGGTGCACTCCAACCCCGGTAGCAGTAGCTGAGTCACACGGCGAGCACAACAGATTAGTAGCAGCTCATCTGCTGTTATAAACCGCTTGGCTGATGGAGTCCTCACTGAGTTGATTCATTACCGTGTAAAGTGGAATAATGTCATTCACCTTTACTATAAACAAGGCTGTGAGACCATAATAAACAGAACCTGAACAAGCTGCCCTCTGCTCTCTGCCCACTGCCCAGCTGACTCTTTATGAGGAAACTCTCCATGACACGTGGACTCGCTGGAAGGGGGCCACGTGGCTCCACCTGGCAGTGGCTGGCACAGGGCTGGCCATGAGGAGAAGCAGGGGTGTGGGTAAAAATAGATGGGTATGGCTTGGGGATAAGCGTGAGGTGGAGAGTGACTTTGGGTTATGAGAGTGGTTTTGAAACTAAAGTGCTGTACCAATTTGGGGTGGTGTTTTTATGACTACCACCTACTGCTTGAAAAGGCAGATAGACAAAAGGGTGGGGATGGTTTGTGTATTCGTTCAGCTGGAAAAATCTGGAAATGCAGTGGGTTGATCTTGCTTAGGGCTGTAACTCACTTTATCCAATCAATATGTCCCCGAAAAGTGTGTATTAGTCATCAGATCTTTAAGTGCCTCTGGTGATCAGGTCTCGTGGAGGGGATGGAAGGAGAATAAGGCACTGTATGTGCTCACAAAAGCTCATTCTTCAAGTGGGATGATAAGACAGAGAGAGATGTAAAACCTTAATTAGCCAAATAATGGAAAATGCTCTGAAAAAGGTCTCTCTTTAAAGGAAAGCTGATGTTTCATCAACTGTAAATTCTTTGGGTTAAAAGAAAAGTCCTTTTGTAAAGCAAATGACTACCCTCAATTCCAATTTTGTAGACTGGACAAGGAGCTGTGGCGTGTCAGGCTGCTGCAGACAGGGGCCCGCTGCTGGGGAGGGGCGTGGCTGGTTTCTGTCTTCCTGGCTTTGCCCTTCTACTCCTGTTGCTGCTATTCCTACCTGGGGCTCCTGAGCCCTCCGAGAGCGTGGAAGGGGAAAGATAAGAGGTAAGGGGCAAGGGGTGTGGGTGGGGGACCAGGCCTGCTGTAGATGCCATCTGTGGGCTCTCCAGCCTGGGAGGACTCTGTGGAGGGGGAAGGGGAGTCCTTCCTGGTTCACTGGAGACCCTGTGTCTTGGGAATCTGCCCCCTGCCAGCCTCTCAGTGAGGATGAATGATTCCCTCTGGCTGGTGG